GAAGTGAGACAGCCACAGTTGGCACAATCACAGGTTCCTTATAAAACTCACGCAGCCGTGCTTGGCGCAACAATGTTTGGGTCAGCAGTGCATGCTAAACAATGATGTCTCAGCCAATCATACTGCAGAATGTGTCTCCATCATTGAATAATGCAAGAGTGTATTCAGCAGAAAACCCAGCAGTTCCATTCTTTACCCAACAGAACTGAAAATATGTTTCCACAAAGCCCCATGGCAATTGTTGGCAGCAACTTCACGCGTAGACACCGAGTACTGGAAACACGCCAAATACCTTTCACTTGGTGGACATCTAAGCTCACTGTGTTGTATCAACTTGGAAGAATACTAGTGAGCAATAAGAATGAGCAGCAGATCTGTGCTGTAGCAATCTCATCTCAAACACATTCTATTAAATGAAATGAACCCATCTGAAAAGGCCAAAATCTGTGCGATTTCAATTACATGGTATTCTGGGAAACGACAATTGCAGGGACAGAAAACAGATCGGTGGTTGCCATGGACCGGAGAGGGAGAAAGGGCCAACCACAGTGTGGTTGGGGAGATGTTTTCTATGTCATGGAACTATAATGTAGTTTGACTGTGGAGGAGGCTACATGATGTTCTATTGTCAGTTTCTATAAAACCACACAAAATCTGCCAAGGTTGAGGCTGTGTCATTATTGTTCCAATGTCTTCAGCCACCTTTGGTTGTTAATAATGGTTCCACTACAACTGTATCAATCATGGCAGGTATTTATTTACATTTTTGCTTATTCTGTTCTCCAAATATAAGTAGTGTTTTATTTTTTTTTAAGATTAGGTCAAGAACAATTTCAATGAGATCCTTTTATTTCTGTTGGCCAGATTTCTACCATGGTGTCAGCCACACTTCTGAAAATGAAGGTTTCTTGGGCTCAGAGTTCTGGGGTTCCAGTCATGACCAGGCAGGCTGTTGCTTTGGGCAATTGGCAATGCTGTCACAACACAGGAAGAACATGGTGAGACAGGCTTACACATGAGTCAGAAGGCCAGGAGGCAGAGGACAGACCAGAGTCTCATGATCCCTTTTGGGGGCACACATACAATAATCCAGGGGTAGCCCTCTAGACCTCATGACCTCAAGGTACAGCATTTCCCTTTGCCATCACTGGTAAACAAACCACCAATTAATGGACTTCAGGAGGACCTTCAGTTAGAGGGGCTTCTTCGCTTGTAGAGGTGGGGGCCCTGTTAGGCTGCTCACGTTGACCTGAAACTCACGATCTTAACCTCATGAGAAGTTAACAACAACATGCTCAATATTTCATCTCACAAGTTCCCAACTGCCTCTTATGAGAGCACCTGGTATAAATGGTGATGATCCTTCTCTCTTTAAAATCTTCAATCATTTTATCTCTTAGCCTCGCTCTTTAGAATCTCATCAGATTCCTTTCTCGATCTGTGCCATGCTATGTCTAGTCTCCTTTCAAACCAGCGCATTGCCTTTTTAAGTCAACACTTACATTCAAATGTAGCATGTACACACATATGTACAGAACATAATTGACAGCTGCAATGAAAATGACTCCTGAGTCAAGGCGTGGAAAGGTTGGGGACTCCAACTGGCATGTGTCAGTCAGCAAATCCTACCAAGCAGGTCTCCTGGTTCTAAAATAAAGGTGAATTTTACTGGTCTTTGAGTATAATATAAGTAAAATCAATCTCAGCTGTCTATCTGTCTGTCTGTCTATCTATCTATCTATCTATCTATCTATCTATCTATCTATCTATCTATCTATCT